TTTGGTCACCAAAAACTTATTTTTAGCAACCAAAAAAAATTAGCTGCCAAATTAGTACTTTTAGCGACTAATATTTTAGTCGTCGTTCATTAAGATTTGGCGACTAAAAAAATTTGTCAGCGAAGGTACCTTTTTTGCGACTAATCTGGTCATTTGGTCGCCAAAAGTTTGGGAGGGAAATTTGAAATGCGGGGGCAGGAATTGAAATTTTTTTGCGACAAAAAAAATTTGGTCGCCGATTGCTAAACAACGTCGTTTTTTAGCAATTATAAAATTATTAATAAGGAATATATTTTCATCACCAATAATTTTAAATATTTAAAAAAAATTAATTTTAAATATTTTTAAACTATTTGATGAAGAACATATTTTTGTTGTCAATAATTTTACCATTTTAAAATTTTTGGTGATAAAATTATTTTATCACTAATTTTGTAGAGAAAACTTTGTGATATTGGTGGTAATGAAGAAAAAAAACCCCTACTAATCTCCCCCTCCTATTTTTTTTTGGTACTTCAGTTTTCCTGTCATCTCTCTCTTGCAAAACACATATTCTCTGCCTTCAGCCCCCCTTTTCCTTCTTCAACTTGTTCTCCTCTTTTAACGTTGCCACTAACGTCACCCGTTCTCCTCCTTCAATGCCACCACCAACGTCACTCTTTTTTTCTTTTTTTTTGTCTTTAATGAGTTTTCAATTTTTTTTATAAAAAGAATTAAATATTTATATTACACCTAACTAAACAAAAATTTTAAATTTAAAAATATATATATATAATTCACTCCACCATTAAAAAAAATAAAAAATCACTTGAGATTATTGTTTGAAAAAAATAATTACTTAAAAATTATTTTTTTGGGGATCATCAGACCACTTGGTCTCTCTCTCTCTCTTCATCCTTGTCATTCTCTCATCTCTCCTTCATTTGTGCTCTCCCGATCCAAAAGCTTCTCATCACCGACCCCCTCACTCTCTCTCATCAACGACTATGAGAGTCTGTCTCTCTCTCTCTCCATTATTCTCTTCTATGAACAAGGGACTATTAGTAGGCGTCTCTTCTCGTTGCCGAAGCAGGGGTCTCTTCTCGTCGCTGATCCCCTTCACTTTCTTTCTTCTCGTTGTCGATCGGTCTCTCATAGTCGACATCATACCCCCATTTTTCTCTCCATCTCTTTCATCTCTCTCCGATGAACATCAGTTGACGAGGATGTAACATCACAAACCCCCCTTCGCACTACAACAAAAGTAACTTATGATGACGAAAAGTAGTGAAGAAAATAAATTTCGTCACTACATTAGAAAAATCCATGACGAATTATAAAATTTTGTCACATATAATAAAAAATAAAAATAATAAGTGACGAAATTTATTTTCGTCAACAAATACTTCTTTTTAGGTGAGCAAAAATTAAGTTTTGTTACCAAAGGTTTTCCCACTAATTTTTTTAGTGGCACCAAAATTTTGAGACTTTTGGTGAGAAAACAATTTGTCATCAATTATAAAATTATTTGTGAAGAACTTATTTTCGTCACCAATAATTTTACATTTTTTTTTTTTTGAGAAACTTGATTTTAAATATTTTATGACCATTTGGTGAAAAATATATTTTCGTTACTAATAATTTTTAATATTTTGAGTTTTTTTGGTGAGGAATTATTTTGTCACTAATTTTGGAGAGAGAATTTTGACATATTGGGCAGTAATGAAAAAAAATAGACTACTAATTTTTTCCCTTTTTTGTTTTTATCAATTTTCCTCTTATCTCTCTCTCTCTCAAAACAAAACACAAGTTAGCTATCTTCGTTTAGCACCCCTTGTCCTCCTAATTTTCGTCACTAAATAAGATTAATTTGTGACAAATTATAAATTGTCACATATAATATATAAAAAAAAGTAATAAGTGAAGAAATTTATTTTCGTCAATAAATACTTCCTTCTAGGTGAGGAAAAATTAAGTTTCATCATAAAAAAAGATTTACTCTAAATTTTTTCGAATGGTGCTAAAATTTCGAGACTTTGGGTGAGGAAAAAATTTGTCACAAATTATAAAATTATTTGTAAGGAATATATTTTCGTCACCAATGATTCTAAATATTTTGATATCATTTGGTGAGGAGTATGTTTTCATGGCCTATAATTTTTAATATTTTGAGACCTTTTGGTGGGAAAATTATTTTGTCACAAATTTTAGAGGGAGAATTTTGAAATATTGAGCAGGTAATGAAAAAAAAAACTGGCTACTTATTTTCCCCCCTTTTTTGTGTTTTTTTTTTTCCCAGTTTTCCTCCCATTTCTCTCTCTAAAAACACACTCCCGCTCCCTCTTCAGCACCCCTTGGCCTCCTTCAACGTCACCGCCGACGTCGCTCTTTCTCCTCCTTCAACAACGTTGCCGACGTTACATCTCCGAGCAAGCATCAGTGCCATTAACTTCACATCTCTCTCTAACAACGCTTTCTCAATGTATGGTACTCCATCCCTCCTACCTCTCTCTCTCTCTCTCTCTCTCTCTCTCTCTCTCTCTCTGTTTGCTAAATCTCTTATTTTTCTTGTCACTTCTCAATTTTGTCCCTTCTTACCACCCCACCTCCCCCAATCTGTGAGAAACCCTATATTGAACAAACCTCATTGTTTCCCCTTTCTCCCTCCTTGCAACTCCGTCACTTATGTAATTGAACCTCATATTTCTCTTTTGATTTGGATTTCTGAACATTGTTTGATTGGGTTTGTGTACATGTCTTGGATTTTTGTATATTTACATGTATTGATTTGGGATTTTGTATATGTATCTATCTTTCATATTTATATTATCTTATTTGAGTTTTTATTCTATTTAATACATCCATATATTTAGGTGTTTGTGTATATATTGTCATCGTAGGTTTGTTTAGTTAGAATTTTGCCAAGCATATGTATCTTCTGCATCGACTTGTAGCAACTTATTTTGTATTTTTTTATTTATTTTTCTTCTCCAAATCGTTCTACAAGTTTTGTATGTTTGTATGTGCAATGGCAAGTTTTTGTATATGCAATACCACACAGTTTATAGAAAAAATATTTTAAATAATTTTATTTTCAAATGTTTAAGAAAATATTGTCGCAAATGTCAATGGGAATTTGTTGACAATGGGGTTTATTTAGGGTGAGGTAGCTATTTTAGTGACTTCAACTGAATCCCTAGAACTTTGAAGATCAATATTAAATTTGTAATATTTTAACAGTTTCAATGGAGTGATATATCTAAGTGAACCCCCTATTTTTTTTTCCTCCTGAACCCCCTTCTCTCTGTGTTGAAACTTTGGATTTGATGACTCCAAAGTGCCATCCTTTATGTGTGTTTTTTTTTGTTTCTCTCCCAATAATTCTAAAATATTGTGTGTTTTTTTAATTATGCTTTGTATTTTATTTTAATATTGGAAGTAGAATCTATTACAATTAGTTTCAATCACAACGGTTGAATTTAGTTCCAAGTTATCACTTGTGAGCTTAATATTATAATGTTTTATTAGATTTACTAAAATGAGATGGAATAGAATAAAATGATTATTATGGAAGAGTTGGCAACGATGTATTGATTATCCTTTTAGGTTGACAATTAGTATAGAAAGTTTTGCTTTCAATAAATTAAAGACAACATACTGCAATCCACTTACTGTTTTTCACTAACCTACCAATGGCCTAGGTTTCCTAGGTTAGGCTACAAGTTTTTGCTTAGGTGCTATTGTCCATGCTATGCAATTGCCTCTCAATAAGCAGACTATAAGATGAACTGAGCTGCTTTGAGAAGCTCTAGCTTCGGTTTGTTTAGAGCTTTGCCAAGCTTGTATTATGTCAAATACATGAACCTTAAGCCTAGACTTCAAGCTTCTTTGTTCAATATGTGAGCATGAATTCTGCAGTTTGCTTTGCTGGTTGCATTCCTTATCTTGGTTCATGAACACATTTTTTCCCCTTGAAATTTGAATTCTTATACTGTGAGCATCATTTACGTATCGATTGACACTGTGGCTGCAGGTCGATCCTATTTCAGCTGGGGTTTAGTATGATAAAGAATTCATTGTGTGTTCTTTGGACTTGCTCTCTGGACTTGCTGAAGGTCTTGGTAGTGGGATAAAGAGTTTGGTATTCCCCCTTCTCTAATTCTCTCTCTCTCTCTGTCTCTCTATGCAATATGTTTTTAGTTTTTGCTAAATGATGCTCCATGAAAATGAAATGATGCAAATAAATTCTAATTTCTGATGGTCATTTATATATCGTTGCACACTATCTTTTAATTGTTTTTTACATCCTCATTTATTGCGTCAGGAAAAGACAAACCTATTGTCCTTAGATTATGGTAAATCTGTCCATGTGTTCATAATTTTATCTTCATAGACTGTTGTAGGAGCCGAATTTCATTGGATCAATAGGGACGAATGGACGAGTCCAGTCTGCGACATAATATTTATTCGGCATTAATCCTAGTCAATTGAAGAGACGCATAAAATAATCGGCTTTCCAATCAGTGGAACAAAGGCCGAGTATAAGTACATGTAAAGGATCGAGGATGGTCCTAGCCCTAGGGCCCAACGAGAATAATATAAATACAGGATCATCAGTCAGAGAAAGGTATGTGAGAACCATTACGCTTAACTTAAAATACAAGTAATCAAGAGAGTAGAGACTGACTTGCCCGTCGGAGTGCTAATTCTGACACCCCCGACCGGAGTGTTTATTCCTTTTCAGGTGACTAGCTGAGGATCACGAGCGTCCCCCAGGATCAAAAGAGTATTTCCAAACTACTTCTCCACAATTGTCATTATGAAGGAGCCTGTTGCATTGCATGTGCTGTGGATGTACCGTGTGCATTAAAATTTGTTGGCCAGACATAGCCTTGCCAAGTGTAAGTGTTTCTATATCACTATCAGTCTATTTGCAGCCTTATGTCATTAGCAAATTGTGGCAGGATACGTGATGATATTGAGGAGGATGCCTTCCGAGGTCTATGTTTCATGGTATGCCTATACTTTCTTCATCTTCCAATTAAACTGAGATTAGAAATGTAATCCTAGTTTGGTGTGCAATTGTTTGCAGGTTAGAGCAAACCCATCAGGGGCTTTGAGTTCACTTGTTTTCATGTGCAAAGCTATTGCAAGTTGGCATGTAAGAATGACATTTCTGAATTAATTTTTTTGAGTAGAAAATAAAAACAAAAAAAAAATATGATTTTTTGTATTTTCTTTATTTTAATACAGGAAATAAGGAGCGAAGAACTACACAATGAAGTTTACCAGGTGTTGCATGGTTATAAACAGGTCAGTGGTGTGTAGGTTCTCTATCATGCTACTTTGATTTCTATTTAAATATTTTTTTGGAACTTTATGCCTAATTTTTTTTTCTTTCATCGGGGTTGTATAACTCTCGGAATAGAATCAGAAAACCAATGGCTGCATTGCATGGTGAATGATGTACTTGTTTTTATTTGCAGTTACAAAATTAGAAATTGGACATAGATAACAAATAACTGATGTAATAAATGTATAAAATAACAAGCTTTACAGATGCTTAGGGATGGTGCATAGGACCAATGCATGTCTGCTTTGGAGCCCCTAGTGAAAGACAAGTTGCCAAAGTATCAAGTATGAATATTTTCCTCATAATAGAGTTGTCTTCCGCACTGGTGCCCTGTCTTCGCCATGCTGCCAGAGTTGTGTACCTGCTTGTGTTGACATTTTGTGCATTGTTTAATTTTGAGCGAGAAGACCAAACGGCTTGGTGATGTTTTTCCTAGCACAGGCCGAATTATTCCCTAGTTTTCATTGAAGCTTGAAGCTAATTTATCGTAATCTTCAACGCTGCCCATGGATTGACTGTCACAACGACATTTGGTTTGGATTGAAGGTCGAAACTGATGATTGCAACTTAGATATGGTGTACAGGGTTGTGATTTTTCAAGCATTTTCCGTGAGTTTCTTTCCCTTATCCAGGTTTTGAATTTAAAAAGAGTTTACTACATGTCATTCAAGATCTAGATTTATATTTTTCCTAGCTTGGTCAGAGTCTTGTATACACCTTATTTCCATAGATTTTGCTGAAGAGGTCAAAATGTTGATTATTATAATTTTTTTTTCTTCATATTTCACATTTGGGCATAGGGATCGTTATTGCCATTTGGAGGTGGAGCGAAATTATTGTTATCACTGAAATCTCATTTTGCTATAATATTCGAGCAAAAGTGAATCGGTATCACTGAAATCTCATTCTGCTATAATATTTTTTGGCTTTCCTAGGTGTATCATTGTATTGTTTGCTGTCTTTCTTATTTATTTGTTTATTATTATTATTTTGCTAATTTACATATCAATGCACATTTATTCTTGTACTGATTTAGAGGGTGACTGGACACTGTACAGAAATGAAACTCCTTTGTTTTATTTTTATTTTTTTGTTACATTTTAAATGAAATTTATGTCTTTTTCATTTTAAAAATGCTGAATGTTTGATTTTAATTTATTTTTTACAGTATTTTGGAGTGATGCTTTTGTCTAATATAAACATATTTACGCATGTCACTCACATTATATATATACACGTTAAAACATAAGCTCGTAATGTGTAATATCATATTTTGTTATGTAATGCAGAAAGTGAGGACATTTCAAGATCCTTCGAGACATGATCCATAGGAGCGTGCTAAATTGCTAACTCAAGTTGTCAGTTTCTTAAGAAACAAGGTTTCAATGGACAATTTAGGAGAGGGGCATCCCTAGATTGCCTTTTTGGTAAGTCTATGTTGCTTTATTTTTTCATTTTTCTCATGTTGGTTAGTATATATTGGTTAAAACACAACTGTTTAAGAAAGTTACACTTGCAACATTGTTAAATTGCTATTACAAACTTTGAAACATTGAAAATGATCATAACATACTAAAATGCTTAGTTTTATATTATTTATGTCGATCTATCTTAGTTCAAATTTTGTGAAATTGAAAACCCATTAAAAACCCCATTAAAAACAATCAACCCATATCAGTATTCTCATTTCTTTCTAAGCAAAGTTGGAGAAACAGTGAGTGAGATAGTAAAGTTGTATCAAAGGGACATCCACTGGTAGATAGTGAAATTTGTGGAGATAACTGAAGTTAGTAGAACAAAGATCCAAGTTTCATTGAACCATTCTACATGACAATAAAACTCATCATGTTGCTTGATTGTTTTCAATATTAGCAGGTTCATAGTTGTTCATATAACTTGCAAGAGCTTGCCCCCAATTAGATTAGCTGTTGTTTGTGATTTAGTACAGATGAAAGTCAAATTTCAGTAGAAAATGCATTTTTGCTAAATTGGTAATTGATAATATATTAATGTTTTCCTTTTTTATTTTCTTTGCAAATTGATTTTTGATGACATTTGGAAGCATACTTGCAAATCAAGATCAAGTGTTAATTTTTTTTGTAGACTGATAATTAGTTCTACTTGTAACTCAAGATCAAGTGTTTTTTTTTTTTTTTTTGTGTGTGTGGATTGATACTTAGTTCATTTTGGGCTTTCCGTATCCCATTAACCGATCGGGGGGAGAATTAGCCACAAGTCATCCGCTGGAAAGAATCAAAATGTATATCTTGATTGATCTCCTCCAGTTGATCGTGGCTTCGAATTTAAAAATTATAATATTGGGCCTGATCCTCCTGCTTGTCCTATTCCTTGAAACTGCTTGTTATGTTTTTTTTAGAGAGTGAAGGAATGAGCTTAACCATACTGAACGATGCATTTTGTTTTCTCTGCTTTCTGAGAACATGGATTCTATAACATGAGTAACTTTTAAACAAAATCTATTGTATTTCACTTATAGTTTATTCCATTCTCTTGATTGTATAGAATTTGATTTTAGCCTCAGCTATTAGGGATAAGAACATGGAGGAATGCCAAATTCTTGTAACATGGGTGCTTTTTTTATTTTATTTTAAATGATCATTTTGATTCATTGATCTTAACTTGTGTTTTTGTTTGTTTTTGTACTAATAGGTTATCAAGCAAGTTAAAGTTGAGTATGTACCAGAAAAGGCTGAATTTGATGGTCATTTGGATGAGGAGTTTAGGAAGGTCTTTGAGAAATTCAATTTTAAGGAAATTGTGGGGTCTGAGGTAATTGGAATTTTGCCCAAATATTATGTATCTTTTGTTTGCTATATATTTTTTCCTATAAGTTTTTCTCATTTCTTCCATTGTATTCATTCAAGAGAACGATAAAAAGGATGAGACTGCCGTAGATTCTGCCTCAAAGAAGGTTGACTCAGATTCTGAAGAGAAAGAGTAGGATACCCATCAAAAAGAGAAAGGTGTCTCTAATAAAAAGAAAAAGGTTTGATTTTCAGTATCCTGTTTTTTGATTGTTGTCATTATGTCTACCTTGAACATATGGGCTAAATTTTTTGCACATGTTCTTTCAGCTGATATGTTAGTTTGGATCAGCTGCCAAGCAAGTTGATATGTTAAATCATTAAAGAAGGTGAAAGGCTTCAAGTTTTGTGTCATGTTGGACTTCAAAAAGGATATAGCTTTTGAGAAGACATGTTTACTAAATTCAATTTGACTTGAATATGTCCTGTGCTGCACTACGGTTACATATTTTCATCTTTATTTTAAATGGAATTCAATTATTGCTTGATGATTTAGTGAAGTTACAAGAAAGGAAATTTGTTAATATTTGTTTCTAAGCTTTTTCTTTTTTAAATGTTATTGTTCCTTAATTGTGGTTGGGTTGAATGAATTTTGTTCGATATTGGATTGAATGTTTATAAACAAAAATTGATTGTTCTAAAAAAAAAAGAAAAAAAAGAGAGATTTGGCGACTAAAAAATTGGTCGGCAAATTCTACACTTTTGCGACTAAAATCATTGGTTAGCAATTCCTTACCTTTTGGCAACTAATTTGTTAGTTGGCGATTCCTTGACTTTTGGCGACTAATCTATTTGGTCGTGGAATGTGACAATTGGCGACTAAGATATTTGGTCGGGAAAATGTCACTTTTCGCGACCAAAGTGTTTTACCGACAAAATGGATTACTCGCAGTAATGATATATTTAGCGACCAAAAATTTAGTCGGCAAATCCAACTTTTCCCGACCAACAAAAATTTTGGTCACGAATTACTTTTGCCGATCCTCAATTGGCGACCAAAGTAGCGACTAAAAAAATTGGTCACGGATAACTTTTGCCTACTAAAAATGGGCTTTTAGTGGCCAATTTTTTGGTCGGCAAAGGTGTTATTTCTTGTAGTGTTTTCATTTTATTTCTTTAAATTAAAAATTGATAAAATGTATCCCTTTCATTTTTTTAAAATTTTCAATCTAACTCTTATGTTTCTATTATGTTAACAAAATAGACACAAAAAAAAAAAAAAAAGTAGATGTAATGTGTACATGTCATATTTATGATGAAAATATTCTTTAAAGATCTATCATAAATATAACATGTCATTACATTCACATTTTCTGTTTGTTTTTGTTAACAAAATTAAAATATAAGGGTTAGATAGAAAAATTTTAAATAATGAAGGAGATATACTGTATCAATTTTTAATTTGAGGGGTGAACACTACTACAAAATCATAAATAGATCACACTTTTTATGTGTGATGTATGTTATTTAATCACACGTTTCAAATATTGAAAAGAGTAAGACAAAAGTTGCTAATATCATTGAAAAGAGACAGAAAATATATCAATGACTTAACAATTGAGATGCAAACATGTGGAAAAAAATGTTTCAAACCAGGCATAACTAATCTCAAATTCCCAAGCATTCCATCCTCCATCCCTATAATCAATCATCAATCAAATTAATAAACGGAAAACTTACTAACCCACAACCAATTACACTATTTATTCTTGAACCTAATAAACAAAAAACATACCAACCGACAACCAATTACATTCTTTTTACCTAAACCTGAATATAGAAGTCAAAGCCTAAAAACTCTAGGATAAAACCCAATATAAACCCAGCTTATCACCAACTTGAATGCATCATCCCATGGAATTTTTACCATAACGCTTCTTATAAGAATAATTCACAAACTGTATTTAGGTTTAGGAAAAATTTGGGCAATAATTATCCGGGACAAGAGTGACCAGAATCCAACATAACATATTAGAGTGAGTAATCTTCCACGAAAAATCCAAAAACCATATTTCAAAAAGAAAATCTCAAAGTCCTGCGTCATCCAACCAAAAAATCCAATATCCTAAATCGAAATTTATAAACCAATCTAGCACAACTCGAATATTTCAAAGAATTTCACAGGAAAAGTAATCCATACCAACTTGAATTCATATTCCAAATTATGACATCTTTGATGATCCTTCAAAATCAGCCTGAAATTGTATCTACACAATGAATCACCATCCATGATCAGAATGAGATATAATTCTGCATACCTTCGGCAAATTGCTAACAAAATTTTCATACGAGAGTAGATGACAGTACATCTCATCTGCCTAATAAAGCTAGGAGAAGAGAGAAGGAAACATGGGTAGGGGGTGCGGGGTAAAAACACCACCAAAAAACCCAAAAAAGAAATAACAAGATAAAAAA